ATATATATATATATATATTTTTTTAAATCAAATATATATACATATATGTGTACATGTCGTGTCTACTATAACGTGAATAAATGCACTGTAGACCATATTCCAGTGTTCCCCAGAGAAACGGTAAATACTCTATGTTACACGACAATACAATATACAGTTCTGAATCTGTACTTTACACAGACTATACGTTATCTATGTATAAAACAATGTAAAAATAACAAGTGCTGGAAACATGTAAAAATATAAGAAAATAAGCTGATCTCGTGAATGATGAAGAATCTAAAATTATAAGCAATATCGTGTTTAGCTGTGGTTCGTAATTAGAATTTAGTTTTCCATACACGTATAATCGATAATCCAATCGATAAACTAAAACGGAACTATACCAAAATTTGAGTCATACACCCAGATAAAAGCGTACTCCTCCCTTTTTATCGAGAAGATCAGTATCTAGAAAATTCTTCTGGGGCCTTGTGTATTACTTGTTTTTATATATGTATATATATTAATGTTAAAGAATCTCTCTTGTAAGCTCAAATAACTTAATGACTTAATACATATAATAATAGTATGTAATAAAGGATGTCATGATTTAAGCTACAGACGGTCACGATGGAAAGAATTGTTGTAGACGCTGCACCGTTCTACGATCAAGAGCGCACAGATCAAAGTCAAATGTCTTCTTCGTGATCTCGTATTGACCGGTTTCTGCGATCACCTGAACAACTCTTTGTAACTCTTGATTATCTTGCAAAGTCATTATCTTTTGTTGCAAGTCCTTCAACTGTGACACATAATCTTCCGAAAACACTGGCGGTTCTCCCATGTCCGAGTCAACCAAAGTACTATTCGTCGAATCAGGTGCCACTTGTTCCGCTTCTGCCTCGATACCTTTCTCCGCGACCTGTTCCATCACGCCTCGATCCTCTTTATCCTTCGTGTGAACCGTTTCTTGATCCAACGCGACCGGCGACTGACTCGAAGAAACGGGTTCCAAAGGTGGGGACGCCGAATGACCCCTGTCCTTTTCTCTTTTAACCACATGATCATCGTCGCCTTTACTGTCGCTTCTTCGTTTCCTCTTTCGGGTTTCCTTTTCTTCACCTTTGCTTCCTTTCGGTTTCTCCCTTTTATTTCGATCTACTTTTTCCTTCTTAATATCCGGAATTGGAATTGCAGGCGAAAGTGGCTTTGCCATTTCCGTGGGTGGCGTGGACACCGTTAGATTTTCTACCTCTTTTTTAACCGTAGGCACTAATTTTGATTCGGAAAAGGACTCGTCATCTATGGATGGCGCTGAATCGCTACTATCCCTTTCTGGCATTTCTGCCAATAGAGCCGAAAGGGGATTAGCTACTGGAACATTAGGCACATTATTTTGCTTCTCCGTTGAGGATTTTATCCTATCGCGTTTTTCTTTTTTGTCCCTATCTTTACTACTATCCCGCTTATCCTTTTTATCCCTTTTCTTGTGCTTATGCTTTTGCCTCTCCTTCTCACTTTTACTGTCCTTCGTTTTATCGGACTTCTCGGTCTTTTCTGATTTTTCTATCTTCAACAATTTCTCATCCTTTGGTTTATCACTCTCCTTCGGAGGTTTCGGCGACTTCCTTCCGTCCTTTGCCGATTTGTACTCTTGGCTCTTCTCTTTGTCGGACTTTTCCGGTTTCTCTGGTTTGTCGCTTTTCTTTTCCGGCACTTTCACGCTTTCCTTCGAAGCAGACCGTTCTCCATCTTTATACTTGTCCTTCCGCTCTTTATCCCGATCTTCTTTATGCTTTTTCTTATCCTTCTTCTTTTCGCTCTTAGAAGAATCGACAACGTTTTTAGAGCTATCCTTGGCTTTGTCTTTCTCTTTACTCTTATCCTTCTCTTTTTCAATGGTTATCTTTTTTAATTCCCTTTCCTTCGATTTCGGAGAAGCCAGTCTCTTTGCGGGAGGAAGAGAAGGGCTAGGAGGTCTCTTTAATGGGACTGACGGAGGTGATGGAGGCCTTTTATTTGAAGGGCTAGAGTGACTTTTATTTCCAGGACTAGGAGGCCTTTTTGATTTTTCTTTGCTTCGATTTTTATCTTTAGATTGATCTTTGATCCTTTTATCTTTTTTATCATCTACCTTCTCTTTCTTGTTATCTTTATGAGGACTATCTTTGAGCTTTGTTTTGTCCACCTTATCAGACTTCTCTGTGGTAACTAACGATTTGGAAGCCGACGATTTTTCTGGCTGTGTAGGCTTCTTCGAGTCTTGAGAAACTTTTGTAGGTTTCAAAGGAGTTCCAAATAATTCGGCAAAAGAATTCGAAGTTTTTGACTCTGTATTTTTGTGCTTTTTCGACTCACTTCCACTCAATTTTGGTTTGCCAACCATAGTTAGTGCTTTAGGTTCACACTTCTCGGCTGAATTTTCAGAACCGGTCACAACAACCTAACCATATCATATTTATTACAACACATGTAATAAATTAAGAACCCATGTAAAATAGGATTAAATATACTTACACCACCACCCCTCAATAATTTCCTCTTAAATTCTTCTGAAGGGTTAGTAATTATTTCGGTATGCCTCATGACATTTGTAATTGCAGGACCACTTGTTTGTAAGTCAAGATCATATAAAATTTCTATCTTTTTGCAACCTTCATCCTTATTCTTAAAATAAATATGAATTGGAATCTCAAAACCGGCATAACCAGACTCTTTTATCACAAATGGTGGCTCTTTTAAGACCCTCTTTGGTTTTGAGAATGTTTCATGTAATTGAAAGACCACTGGAATACAAAGCAGAATACATCAAAGAATGATACAGATGCACTATTATATCAAAAAATGCAGGGTATCGATTCAAAGATATATTTACCTTTTTCAACATAGTGGTGAATATCAGCATTGTCAATACCTCGCACAAATACTTCCCAATCATGAGTATAACCCTGAGGGGTGGTACGCATACGTAACATTGATGCGTGCCCACATTCTAATGTAATGCGAATTGCCATTCTCTCATATGAAATTTTTGATACCCACTTTTTCAAAGAAAAAATAGAGGGAGCTAATTATGCGGGTAAACACAGCAATTACATTACATTTTTATTTATCTCGGTACACGTGAATGAAAACTTTGACGAATCCTTAACTATCGGGTCCTTCACAAACTGTTTGTGACGTTATAAACCATTGTCCAGCAACTTATGCTAGATGTATAAGTAATGACAACACTTCTTTCCTAATTTTCGTACTCTTGAGATTCTGGTACATCGTTTGGTTACACTTGTTTTGTATGAAAGTGTTGACCACCTCATTAGAGCAGAATGTTGTGTTAAACGAGGAGTCTGCTAGAGGCAATTTGCCTCGTAAGAACTACAATAATTCGCTAATTTCCCTTAAGCCAAATTCAATTCGATTATCAACAGGTAAACTTTACATCAACCAGAACTAGTCGCCATACTCGTTATTCCGTATACTAGAACTTAAAAAAGCTCGCTCACACCGCCATCTATAGGAAAACACTATTCTTTACTAAAGAATGCCAATATCAATTCTTGCTTTTGTACAATTTTGTCCAATCCTTGATTGAACAGATGACACGTTGTTTATTATTAGAACATTCTGTTTTAACATATTTAAACATTGCTTATTACTCAACACCATCGATGCATACAATTTGTTGGGATGTCATTTAAATACTGATCAGCAGTGCACTGTTTTAAGCAGAATTCACACAACTTTGGTATTCAAATTAGTAGATGAAAATGTATCTACTTTAATATTCGGTAAATATATTAATATAAAATCATCGATCACAAAATTATTATAAACGAATCAAATTATAGTTGAAAGAAACGAATTCGGTGATATTACATACAAAATTTACAGGAAGAAAGAAACTTAACAGAGTTTACTGTAAATGTAACCTGCTGACATTCTGGTGATACAAATTGTTGTATTTGTTTAACAAAAATGTTATCTGCTATCGTAAAAGAGCATCAAAGTAAGCAAGTGGCAAGAAAAGAAAGGCAAGGTAAAATTGCTAAATGTTCCTTCTTATAAATAAATTAGAATTATAAATTACTACGTAGAATATTATTTCAACAGAGCAAAAAAGAAAAGAAGCCGTACAAGCTGCAAGCAATCTGACACAAGCCTTGGTCGATCATTTAAATGTAGGGTGAGTTGACAAGAAATAAATACAACCTAATTATTTATTAAGCAAATATTTCATTGGGTAGAGTGGCACAGGCATATCTTAATCAAAAGAAACTGGATGCAGAAGCAAAGCAGTTGCAACATAGCGCAACAAATTTTGCAAAGCAAACACAATCATGGTTAAGTTTGGTAGAAGCTTTTTCCAGTGCGTTAAAAGAAATTGGCGATGCTGAGAATTGGGCACGTAGTATCGAAGGTGACATGAGGACTATAGCAACTGCTTTAGAATATTCTTACAAAGGTAGACGAATCATTTGTATTTATTATGTCAAATCCGTACTAAATTTAATTAACGTATTTATTTTAGCTACTCAAGAAGCTCAAGGGACCAGTACTTCTTAAAATCTTAAAAATATGGGGTTTTCTGACTTTCCGGTACAAGAAAAGCATTATGTGCCTCAGATACACATGGTTTTCTTCCATATTCAAAGGCGTATAAAACTGACAAAAATCGTATCCAAATGTTTTTCCAAATAAACCTGAGGGAGGCGTCTTTTACGATGTGTGCGCATGTCATTTGTTTTCAATCGTTCTGATATATTCAGACCTGTTCTTACGGCACCTACCAAAAATCGGCACGAATTTTCCATCAAGGAACCTAACACTAAGTATTATTAAACATTGTTATAAATTTTAATATTGTTTTGCATCTGTATCAATATACGTTAAAATAAATATGATCATTATGCTTTCTTACGCTAACAATTTATTTATTTAATAATTCGAAGTTGGCAATAATTAATAATGCTATTTGTGATGATATACCTAGTGATATAGTTTGGTAATATTCGTGAATACCAGTGTTGCCAAGCTACTTGAGCGAGTTCAAATCAAAATACTAGTAAATGATAATCATGGCGGCGGGTCCTATTGCTGAACGCAATCAAGGTATATTTCTATTTAAGTTGTTTTAAATTTATAACGTCTTAATTTTTTCTTTTGTAATTTTAATTACAATTACATTTTTACCGTTTTGTAGCATATTTGAACTAAAAACGTTAGTTATACTAGGTTATGTGTACATAAATACTATACATTAACAATTCTAGAATTTTATATTACATATATTTGTATCAATTTGTTTTACTTTGAATAAAATATTTCGTGTTTTAGATGCTACGATATATGTGGGTGGGCTGGATGATAAAGTTACAGAATCCCTCATGTGGGAACTATTTGTTCAGTCCGGACCAGTTGGTATGTATTATTTCATTATTATATCTTGTGATTTTAAATATGAAATTGATAAATATTCAATTTCCTTTACTGTTTCTTTTAGTTAATGTTCATATGCCAAAAGATAGGGTGACTCAAATGCACCAGGGCTATGGGTTTGTAGAATTTATGGGAGAGGAAGATGCAGATTATGCCATCAAAATAATGAATATGATAAAATTGTATGGGAAACCGATAAGAGTAAACAAAGCAAGTGCTCATCAGAAAAATTTAGATGTCGGAGCTAATATCTTTATAGGAAATCTTGATCCAGAAGTAGACGAGAAACTGTTGTACGATACCTTCAGTGCGTTTGGAGTAATTCTTCAAACACCTAAAGTAATATATGCAGATAATGAACAACGTTTAATAAACAACGAATTCGCGGAATATATAAAAGCCTGTTGCACGTTTCAGATAATGAGAGATCCCGAGACAGGAAATTCAAAGGGATTTGCGTTCATAAATTTCGCCTCGTTCGATGCATCCGACGCAAGTATAGAAGCGATGAATGGCCAGTATTTATGCAACAGACCGATTTCCGTATCGTACGCTTTCAAACGCGACGCCAAAGGAGAAAGACACGGTAGCGCGGCTGAACGTCTATTAGCCGCGCAGAACCCTCTGAGTCAAGCGGATAGACCTCATCAATTGTTTGCCGATGCGCCACCTTTAGCGCCACCACCGATTCCAAACTCAAGTGCGGCAACTCATCAAGCTGCTCATCATCCTCAGCATCACGTGATGCACCATGGAATGGTTGTTCCACCTCCTCCACCCCCTTCAACACCAGGACCTCCAATGGGTCATCCACCACCACCACCCGTCCCACCTCCGCCATCGAGTGGTTTCCCACCAGCAAGTATTCCTCCACCACCTTTGCCTCCTATGTCAATGGCAACGCATCCTCCTTTACCACCCGGAATGCCACCTCCATTGCCACCTATGCCCGTTCCAACTTCTCAATCGCAACAAACGACGCCCAGAATGATGGCGCCACCGCCTCCGCATTGGGGTGTCAGTGGGCCACCCCAAGGTCAATTTCCACCACCACCGCCTCCTTCATCCGCTGGTGCACCTCCGCCTCCGCAATTTGGTCAATTTCAACCACCACCCCCGCGACCTCCTCCAACCTGGAGACATCCACCTCCTCCTCCTGTGTCTCAAGGTGGACCACCACCACCTCCACCTCCACAATTTCGGCCACCCTTTCCACCAAGAGGTCCACCACCACCGCCGCCACCTCACGATACCAATCAATATTGAGTTTGCCCTTTCATTGTCTCAATGTCTTCGATTACTTCGCGAGCGTAACGTAAGAATTTTGCCTGTGTTCAAACTGTTGGATACAACCGGACGTATTATCGATTGTACAAATTTATAATTCCGTAGGATAAGGAGGTAATAAATTTTTTTGATTTTACAAGTTACAACTCTCCTCTTAATTCCTCGCTTTTGAGCATGAATTGTCGAGAAATGACAAAAATTCGCCTTTAATTGCTTAACACGACGTTTCAACGATCACGAACGCGGTTATTTATTGTATCGATTAGAAGTCGCGCGTGAATAAGGACATGCCAAGCTCGTTCTATTGATTATTGCAAGCCCAGTTCAGTCCAGTCCGGTGAGTGATAAAACCGAACGGACAAACTGGCAAAACAGTTACCCTCGAGCATGTCGACCGTGTTGAAGGAGTATTCGGCGTTGAAACGGGACGAAAAGTAAAAAAAGCAAAGGAACGTAAGGGAATCGCATGTTTGTCGCATGTCACCAACCGGGTAAGTAAAGGGAACAGGTGTCTGGAGTGGTAAATTAAGCGGCGCCGGCGGCGCTACGCTTTCTGAAAATAACGCGATTTTTTTTAGATCGTTCGTGACTCAATGTAGTTTCATCGATCCGTGCGACGCCTCGTTCGCTCATTGTTTTTTAATGAAATTGAACCGAAATTCGGGATACAGTTTGAGGTAGTAGTTACTGGTCGATCGAAGGAAGGGAATCATGTTCGATTCGCGACATGGCTCGCCTCTACTACGAATGTAACACGGATCTACGAAACGAGACGGGAGACGATGAAATTATCAAACCGTACGCGTGTACACCGGATAAGTATTGTTTGTATTGTTGTTGCAACTCGCAGTGCTGCCTGCTGGTACAAAGACGGCCTCCACGACACTTTTGGGAAGCCTGGTACTTTTGGCTAGGCGTTGCTTTGCTCGCTGTTTTTATCATATCTTCGGTAAGTGATCCTCGACGATCTCTGATCTCGCAATCGTTCGACATTTACGTAAACAAAACGAATGCAGAGAAATCGCGCTCTTCGTATCTGTTTGTCTCTTCGGCAACAGTGGTCGCTGTGATCGATAAATCGTCTCCTTAGGATCCGATACATCGTCCCTGCTTAATTTCCTTTCACGATCGTCGATGTTCTACAAGGGACTTTCTGATTGTTTTTTTGAAACTAGGTGAGCAGCTATATAGTGAGTAATTGCAGACATAATATTCAAGGTGTACCACTAGGACACAGCGCGCACGGTAATCGACGAAACGATCGCGGAAGTGGCCCGGAAAACAACCAGAATGAGATATCGATAAGCATAATTCCGACGTCGGAATTTTTCCCGTCGCACAGAAAAATGTTCGTGATTGCCTCCCAACCAGCCGTAAATCACCTCAGTAAGTACAAATTGCGCGTACTTGTATGGAATTCCTTGGCAAAACTCGAAGCTTTCATGTACCTACTCGAACTTTCACGTCTGGCCAAAACGCAATCGCGTACGGTACTCGGTTGCACCGCATAATTACGTACGATAAGGTAAAGAGACGATGTTAGCGTACGCACGTTTCGTACGGAGCAATTGAGCTACACAGAGACGGGTTATAGCCGGTGTAGTTGTAGGAGAACGAGTTTTAACATAAAAATTTCGCAATGTCGATAAAACGGGGACAATCGCTTTAATCTTTTCGAGATTCGATTAAAGTTTGGGTCCGCGATGAAGAATAATTCGTGCAATTTCGTGCAATAATAATTTTGCCCATGCATTGATTTATATTGCAGCCCCTGTCGTTGCGTGAAGTCGTTTCATTTCAACGGAGCGATTATGTCGGCGAGAAGCAACCAGCGCAAAGAGCTGGAAGATCATCCTGTGGCATTTTACACGGTAATACCTCTTAAAAGACCCGTGTCACATGGAGAGCTTTGATCGACCAAGAACATCGTGACCGCGTCATTATGTCGCGGAGAACATTCACGATAAATACGCCTTTTTACTTAGCCGCGGGATATAATAACTGGTAGCGGCCCGAACACCCTGATCACGACCAGTATTCTGGACAAATGAGAAACGATTTTGCTAAAGAATATCGGCTTCGTAATCACAGATGCGACATCGAAGCTACTTAGATCGCGATCTAGCTCCTCCTCCGATTCTTAAATCATCACGCGCGATGCACCTAATCAATATGGAAACTTTCGACGAACCCCTTCGATTAAGCGATCCATCGATTCACCGATTTCACGCGAGACACGACGAGGAAAGAAAAGCGGCACGAGGAATTTTGTAGACAAGGAAACGATAATTCAGGGTAATGTCGCGGGAGTAAAGATGATAGATCGGTATCGATTAGGTTTATCGGATCTCGTTTTAACGTTTCGGAACACCGGTGGGGTATTTAGAGTTTCTTAGCCGAAGCTCTGCTTCCATTTGGCTGAACGGCGATGCAGCCAACCCGATTGAAACTCGTTCTCGAGGTCTCGTATGGGCGTAACTCCCATTAACAATTAAGAAGACACGTTCCAGCCTGGTCGACGTACCTGACTGGGTACCAAGAGATCGGGGGCTAATTAAAAAGGACAATCGAGCGAATGCAACTCAAGACGACGTGTACTCTCTATCTTTTCGCGCATCTCCCTTAATCCATCTTGCTTCCTCTTTCTCATTCTTTACATCTTTCTCCTTATCCACTCGACTCCTCGCTTTCCTTTTTCCTGCGACTCATTTCTACCGCTTCTCTGTTTCGCGATCGATCCCGCGATAGCGATTAATCGCCGTGATCTTCGCAGAAGAGAGGCATCGCCGAGAGAAGCTTTTGCGTTTATCGAGTCGCGCCAGCAAACGGGAAACGTATCTAAGCGCAATAAAACGGTTAAACGAGTCAAAACTTTCGATCTATGTTTATCCCATCGTGTTCTGGGAGATATTCGAACGACGTACCGATCTCCCGCGAGGCGTGTGCGCGATTCTCGAATCGTGCTTCCGGAAAATAAAAGAATTCCGTGCGATTTCTCGCTGTCATATTGTATATAGCGCGTGCAACGGTCGGCTGTAATCATGTCAATTCGAAACAGCTATGTTAGCATCGTAGAAGAGTGTCTCTGTTGACGTGGATGGACCGGTGTTCGCGTGCAATGCGAGATAACGGCTCGTGGCGGAGTATGTCGATCGCGACACTTCACGCGAGAAACGAAATTAATTAATATGCACCGACAGAAAAACAGATACACGTTTGACATTTCGCACAAGTGTGATTGTAATTAGCTGCGTAGGATGAGAGTGGAAATTACTGTCCGATTAACATAAGACGTCGTAGCGGTGAAAAATTCTACGAATAAAAACGATTTCGATGTGTTGCCTTTAATAACATTCGTAGCCTTCTTTTTAATTTTCCACGAATCCCACGCTACAATACGGTTGCTCAACACATCCATTAATAACAGTAGACCCCAAAGATTTACACCTGAGAAACTCCAGTTCTCACGATTGAGCCGCTGATTTAATTAGAGTTTAATTAGGCTACCGCCATGTTGGGGCAGGTGAAAATTTTATCGAAGACTATCCCGTCTGGAAAGACAGAGCCGATCCCGGGTATGCAAATTGGAAATGGATAATCGACGGTAAGAAGAAGATTCAGTCCGAACGAGACGAGAGCGCGTGTACCCCGTGGAATTTAAATTGCCTACTCCTCACCTCGTTGAAATCGGTCTATTCCAGCGATCTTCCGAACGTTCCGCGGTACATCTCAATAAATTACCCGCGTGAAAGAAATCCTTGTGCTCCCTGTAAATCTTTTTACAGCGAACACTTGATTCGTTCGCGCAATAAGAAGTAGCAACGGAGCAGACTGCCGGCGACCTCGTTCGACTGTAACGAAGTGTCATTCCGATAACCCAGGCCAGCTTTTACTGTCACTCGACGGATGACGATAAAGAAATGTGCAACCAGCGGGGCTCTGCTTAATGTTGCATGGACAGGAAACCAACCGGGGAATTAAACTCTCGTCTGCTTTGCCGTTGGATACCAATAATTGCGATTGAGACGTTCAAACGACCCTCGATTCTCCCTCGATTCTCCCTCGATTCTCCCTCGATCATGCGCAAACATCACCAATTTTTCCTCTCCCCTTTTTCCCTTCCTACGTTATTTGCTCCTCCACGAGAGATCCAGCTATTTCGGCGGCTGTACTTATCGTTCGAAAGAAATAAAGATGAACGTATCGAAGTAAACGGAATATCTTTATTCCCACGACTCTATCCCGAGCTCCTTATTCGCGTTTACCCGTTAATAGACTTGGTACCGCCGCGTGTATCACCGACGAGAGTTGCGAAAATTTCTAGCATTGTATAAACGGGCTCGGAATGTAAACAAATAAATTTGTAACGCAAACAAACAAACAAACCCAACGCGCGAATAAATTACTTTGAAATGTAAATAAACAAACTTGACGTATAATCGGGGAAATTTTTAATATTTATTTCGGAAAACCAGTTGCCGACGCGTATAATAAATATACTATTTTTACCAGCGGTGATACGATGTTATCCCGTCAAAGATTGGTAGCATCTGGACGGTTGGAAATATATCGAAGAAAGATACGAACATGTGCGCGATCTAGACGTTATTGTTACCATAAATCGGCCGAATTTAGGGGACCTTTCGAGGCAACGAACTTGTCTAAAAAAGTCACCAGAATTCTTTCGTCTGCCAGACACCCCGAGTTTCAGAGCGTGTGGAACGACACGACGAAAGATCATCCAACGGAATCATCCGGATGAACGTGAGAAATCGGTCAAATTAATTACGGGTAAAAGTTTCGATTATCGATCGCGTAACCATCGCGACAGTTACGTTAAAAAGCACCATCGACGAAGGTCCCGATTCCCTGTTGCGATTGCAGGGGTTTCACGGCTGGTTGCACGCGAAGAAGAGACACATTCCTCCATCTGGAAGTCGTTGGCGAAACGCGTCTCGTGGCTGCGTAAACGCGTACGCGAATCTGTGATGTTGTTCCAATAAATCGAGCTTAAAAGAGACCGAAAGCAGCAAAGAGGCGAAAAGAAAGGACAGCAAAATGGAGCGCAAGTGCGAATAAATTGCGGACACGAAGAGGGCTGGCGGAAATGATGCCGCGTCGCGATGTGAAAAGCGTAAAAAGCCATGGAAGATGGCGTTTGCGCGATGCTCGATGCAAGAGACAAAAGCAATTAATCCTTTGGATAGCTGCGCATCGGCTTTACGCGTTATCCGCGATTACACTTCGATTTTCCTCTGATTCACGGCCATTGTTCTTATTTCGAGCGTAATTTCACGAGCGCGAATATCGCGCGATACGCTATCTAAAAGAACAACTGTTCTCCCTATTTACGAGACCCCGTTCTCGTATCGCGAAATAAAAGACGTCCGGGTTTTCTTGGAAAAAGAAATCTTCGCGAAGGGACCTCGATTAAACCGTTGTCGCGACGACCAAGCTATGCGAGCGGAGTAATGTCACCGATGACGGAATTAAAATAGATATAGAAGTAAATTCGTGAGGTGGTATCGGTGCAGAGAAGACGGAAAGAAGCGAGAGAAAGAGAAGGATACGTTTCTGTTTCAGTGGGAGGTACTAAAATTAGAGGAGCCCACGCGGGTAACAGTTTCTTCTTGAAGCTTCCTTCGGACATTTTCAAATAGTCCTTTACGCCGATAAGACAACGTGTTTTCGCGACGTCTCCCTGTCAGTCGCGACTCGGCGCCGTGATTCTGCGTTCGATTCGATTGGCTTACGAGTGACTTCCCCGGGAGACACGGTTGCCTCCTTGGAACCCATTCAACGTCCAAGTGACTCGGGATATTCCAACTGGCAACGCAGACTTTCGATAATCGTCCTTTTCTATATCACAGCGACAATTGCCGTAATCGATGATTCTCGTCGAGGGAGGAAAAATGAAAACCAAGGGAGGCTGATTTCCCTGCCGCTGTTCATTTCGATCCGTCGAGTGGCTTGGAATAATTTCGCGTGGATAAGTAGTCAAGTGCAAATCGAGTTTCTTTGATCGCTAGTCGCGTTGTCGATATCGAGATCGCATCTGAATTTAATACAGGCTCGACTTTCAAGATGATAATATATATACCTGTCTTCTGCGTGCGCTTCAAGTGGCTCTCGTGCAGATAGCAGGACGTACCTACTTTATTGTCAATTTCCTTGTCAATGAAATTGTCCGCGAATCGTCGCCGCGTTCGAGTGATTCTCGTCAACTGCAAGGATTCCTTTCGTTATCCCGACTTTCGCGATTCCCGGAGTGGTCGATTCCGTTCAGGCTACGGCATGTATTCCAATCGATCGAGTATCGAGACGCCAATCTGCATACGTTTCATCCTGTTATTCCTGATCTTTCTGTCGACCAGAGTCGAGCGAATCGAAGGTAAGTTGGTCGGTTCGATCCGATGCATCGGGAATGTCGCTATCGACTTTTTAACGCAAAGCAATCGTGCTAGTGCACCACATACTCCACGGTATACGTGCACACCCTACCGTGCTACCTATCCACGCTTATGCCCGTAATGAGCCGTGAAAAAAGGACGCGCGTCGCGAAATACGCAAGACGAGCAGATTTATGAGATGCGTGCGTGTCACGGTAACCCGTTTGCGCTAAATACCAAGAAATTTGTCAATATTCGCAGGTAGAAAATGCGTGTGCACGAGCAAGGCCTGCAAGGAAGCCGGTGCCGACACGTGTGAGACCAAGTATTCCTGTTACACGGAGTTGATCTTGACCGGGAACCAAGAATTCGGGGAAAATACAACGACCAGAGGATGCACGGAGTTCGTATGACTTTTTATTTCAAAATTATCCACGTTCAGTCTCGAAAACAGAAACTGGTTTGAACGTATGCAAAAATTTCCAGCAGGAGAAAATTTCCATATTTTATTTGCTAATATAACGTTTCGTTTAAAAAAAGGATATAGATTTCGCGTTTTAGACGAGTTCCAACGATCACGAAAGAGGCAATATCTCGCTAAAAAGTAACGCTACGACCTCTAACCTTTTCCTCTTATTGGGCAATAAATTTCACCGATACGAGCCCCGTTTGACTCGAAAACGATTTAATTTGCCGAAAGTCCCGATCGACGTACGGCTATTAAATTCGCGACAGCTCTATGGCGAGTCGATAACCTTGACGAGATAATCGGCACGAGAAGTTTTCGCAAATTCTTTCTAGCCGTGCTGAAACGACCAGATGTCGAAATCCTCTCGTCTTCGGAACCTTCCAATCACCGACGGCTTTTTATTACTCCTCCGTTCAATTTTGCAACGTTTATCTTAGTAGAGGATAGCATCGTGACGTTGCTGTCATATATCTGCGAGAGAAAAAAAAAAAAAAAAAAAAAAAAAAAAAAAAAAAAAAAAAAAAAAAAAAAAAAAGAAAGGAAGAAAAGGAAAAAGAAATTAACTCTTGTCGAAGATAACGTAATTCGTAAACTTCGGATTGGAGTTCGAATTTCTGCGTGATATCCTCGACAGGCCACGAGGCGATCGATCCTTTCCGAGGCGTAACAAGCACGATATACGCGCGGAATATTGAAATCTCGCGACGTAAATCGTGCAAAATGGTTATTTAAATCCCGACTATCACGACGGGGTCACGGAACTTTATCGAGCAGAGCCCATTTTATCGGAACGTCGTACGTTGCCACTGCTCCAGGGGTGCCACGCCATTGTTGTGCGAGACAAAGTCCTGGGTCACGAGGTCGAAGTCGAGCGACAACGTGGACCGATCGTCGGCTGCCTGGATCCGTATGCCCTGGCCCAGATTGAAGTGTTGCGACAGCCACGACTACTGTAACGCCGATCGCCGAGTAAACGTGTCGTCCACGTGGATACACGACAAGGGGAGCACCGATCCCGTCGAGCCCACTTTCGACTATCCCGGTAAAGAACCCATTGCTACCTTTTCTCGTCTTCTCACGAGGAACAACACGATTTTTGCCACGATATTCGTAGGGCATGGCGCCAATTCGAATGCTCGATCGTTCGAACGATGTTACGAATATCTTCGAGTTCACTTGCTAACGACTCGCAACCACTGTCAAGGTTTCGCATGTATATATGCATGTAATCGTGTAGCTGAACGTCGAGACGCTCGAAGACGCCACGATCCTCGATAAAAGTAGCACGAGGAATGAATTTTCCGATACCTGCGTGTGTCTCTTGTGTTGCGTATAAAGGTTCCTTTAATGGGATGTCGTCGAGCCGAGGCATAATGGGATCGATTCAGCCCGATCCAGGGCCGATTGCCGGAGGTCGGGAATCGTCGGATCAATTCCTTCAGAATCGCGTTAAGCCGCTGCACGTCGCGGCACTGGTCTTGGCGATCGCTGCCCTGATATCGGTCCTAGCAGCCTGCTACGTTATTACAAGGTCTGCAAATTTTTATTACCTCGCCTACCGTAAAGTTTCACGCCGGTAAATCGCGTGTACCGCGAGGAAGGTGTCGGATCTCGCGTAACGATTTTTTTTTTATCGACTTTAGTTTCGCCGCGGAGGCAGTCACCGCTGGCAAGATCCATCGATAAAACGTGTATTTTACGACGCCGAGCACGTTCGCGTACACAGGTTATCGCGAAACGAACGTTTGACGTATTGCCAGAAATATTCTTCATTTTTCTCCTTTCGTCTTCCTTTCTTCTTTCCTTCTTCTTTCGCGCCTGTTTACGAATAAGCGATGCTTAATCGCGCGTCCCGCTCCTTATTTCCCGGCCATGTTGCATCCACCTTATTCTTTCCCCCTCCCTTTTCCCCATTTCGATGCGATCGAGAAATATTCTTGTATTTTTGCCACATTCCTTGACGCGTTGCCAAGAATTTGTTCGACTCTTTGTTAAGGGAACAACATTCCATATGTAAGTTCGTAATTGTAATTGCTTGGCATTGTCCGTTGGCATACCATCCTGCCAGGCTTCTCCAGCGAATCGAGCCGCGCGACACGGCGTTTCAAATTCGCGATCGAAGCAAAAGTTTCGATTCGTCGGTATGACGAAACGATAGGCGTGCCAGGAAAATCCGATACGAAGGAAAGAACGGGCTCGTCGAAGGCGAGCTACCTTTATTAGCCGACGCGTTTCCTCGGGTTGCAAACTGCCGTTTGCACGCGCTTTGAAAAGTCTCCCATTGGAAAGCACGGCACGATGAAAAACCTTGTGCTAATATTAACTCGCCGACCCGTTAACAATCACCGTCCACGACGTTACAAACTGCAACTGTCTCTCGATAGTCGCCGATGCTACGGTCAATTGAGTACTCACGCGTCGAAAATCGGCGTACCGCGCGTGTTAACCGAGATTATCGGCTTAGTCGGACAGTTCGGACTTGAAATATTACCGATATTAATACCGCGTACAAGGAGTTCTCTCATTGCCGATCCGATAAGCCGGCCACGTGCGACGTGTCTCGTCCCGCTGTCGATACTCGTCGATAAACAATCGATTCGTAAAAAGGCTAGTATCTACGTATGTAACAGGAACGTCGTACTCCGATCGTACGAAGCGATCTATCCGTACGAATAATATATGTACGAATAATCCAGCGTTCTTCCCTTCCGAGTATTCCGTCGAATGGAAAATAAAAGGATTCACGTGTAACCGCTACATATTTAACCGTCCACTCGGCAACGCGAACTGACAGCATTTCCTCTCCGATGGCACTTTTTATTATCTACCTGAGTTGCCCTCTTCCTTTTCTGAATTGGCCGATTTCACCGTGTTCCGTCTGGCCGGTTTGTCGCGGCTCACTAAAAGCCGCCCAACTGCCTTCTTATCAAGCCTCCTCTTTCTCTCGGACTCCACGCCAGCAGATAGCGAAGGCCGAAAGACCCACTCTGGGTTTTACCCTCTAATCTTCGGCCCCCGAACGGTTAAGTGCGTTTTCGAGTTCGGCAATGTCCTGGCCTTCCACTCGCGTATACACCTTCACGGACGTGTTGCTTCCTTTCTTCCTTCTTTATCTCGCCTCCGAGCGTGTATTTCGAGCGTCGCGACGGCCCAAGAGGAAGGGGATCGGCGTTCCTTTCCCGATTTCTTCGTGTTTCACACGGTCCGGACCTTAATGCGGCCACGTTTCTATCTGCTCGTAACGACGTTGCCTTGTCACGAGGATAACGCGTCGTCCATGGAATCGGTAGGGATTCCTCGGCTTTATCGCGAAGGAACGGCGCCTCGAGTGCAGGGAAAATAGAGGCGAATTAGGATAAGAGACGCTGATAACCGGTCGGGTGTACATTTTGGTGGATGCGCGTTCCTACTTTGCCCGGTGTTTATCACGGGATATTTTTGGAGCACGTCCACCGTGCGTCGTGTGGACGGCTCTGTATTTCGTAAGAAACTTCGTAGATTTATAAATCTACCAATTTTTCTCAACGTCCACGTTCATTCCAACGCTCGTTTGCAGGTTCCTGAAGACGAATCCCTACAC